TCTACACCCAGTAATCTCTGTTCTACAGACCTCTACACACCCAGTAATCTCTGTTCTACAGACCTCTACACCCAGTAATCTCTGTCTACAGACATCTACACCCAGTAATCTCTAGTTTAACAGACCTCTACACACCAGTAATCTCTGTTCTACAGACCTCTACACCCAGTAATCTCTGTTTCTACAGCCTTTACACCCAGTAATCTCTGTTGCTACCAGTAACCTCTAACACACCCAGTAATCTCTGTTCTACAGGCCTTTACACCCAGTAATCTCTGTTCTACAGACCTTTACACCCAGTAATCTCTGTTCTACAGACCTCTACACCCAGTAATCTCTGTTCTACAGACCTCTACACCCAGTAATCTCTGTTCTACAGACCTCTACGCCCAGTAATCTCTGTTCTACAGACCTCTACACACCCAGTAATCTCTGTTCTACAGACCTCTACACCCAGTAATCTCTGTTCTACAGACCTCTACACCCAGTAATCTCTGTTCTACAGACCTCTACACACCCAGTAATCTCTGTTCTACAGCCTTTACACCCAGTAATCTCTGTTCTACAGACCTCTACACCCAGTAATCTCTGTTCTACAGACTCTACACACCCAGTAATCTCTGTTCTACAGACCTTACCACCCAGTAATCTCTGTTCTACAGGACCTTACACCCAGTAATCTTGTTCTACAGACCTCTACACCCAGTAATCTCTGTTCTACAGACTCTCTACACCAGTAATCTCTGTTCTACAGACCTCTACACACCAGTATCTCTGTTCACAGACCTCTACACCCAGTAATCTCTGTTCTACAGACCTCTACACCCAGTAATCTCTGTTCTACAGACATCTACACACCCAGTAATCTCTGTTCTACAGGCCTCTACACCCAGTAATCTCTGTTCTACAGGCCTTTACACCCAGTAATCTCTGTTCTACAGACATCTACACACCCAGTAATCTCTGTTCTACAGACCTTTACACCCAGTAATCTCTGTTCTACAGACATCTACACACCCTAGTAATCTCTGTTCTACAGACCTTTACACCCAGTAATCTCTGTTCTACAGACCTCTACACCCAGTAATCTCTGTTCTACAGACCTTTACACCCAGTAATCTCTGTTCTACAGACCTCTACACACCCAGTAATCTCTGTTCTACAGACCTCCTACGCCCAGTAATCTCTGTTCTACAGACCTCTACACCCAGTAATCTATGTTCTACAGACCTCTACACCACCCAGTAATCTCTGTTCTACAGACCTCTACACACCCAGTAATCTCTGTTCTACAGGCCTCTACACCCAGTAAATCTCTGTTCACAGACCTCTACACACCCAGTAATCTCTGTTCTACAGAACCTCTACACACCCAGTAATCTCTGTTTCTACAGACTCTACACACCCAGTAATCTCTGTTTCTACAGGACCATCTACAACCCAGTAATCTCTGTTCTACAGACCTCTTACACCCAGTAATCTCTGTTCTACAGACTTTACACCCAGTAATCTCTGTTCTACAGACACTCTACACCCAGTAATCTCTGTTCTACAGACCTCTAAACACCCAGTAATCTCTGTTCTACAGACATCTACAACCCAGTAATCTCTGTTCTACAGCCTCTACACCCAGTAATCTCTGTTCTACAGACCTCTACACACCCAGTAATCTCTGTTCTACAGACCTCTACACCCAGTAATCTCTGTTCTACAGACCTCTACACCCAGTAATCTCTGTTCTACAGACCTCTACACCCAGTAATCTCTGTTCTACAGCCTTTACACACCAGTAATCTCTGTTCTACGGCCTCTACACCCAGTAATCTCTGTTCTACAGACCTCTACACCCAGTAATCTCTGTTCTACAGACCTCTACACACCCAGTAATCTCTGTTCTACAGACCTCTACACCCAGTAATCTCTGTTCTACAGACCTCTACACCCAGTAATCTCTGTTCTACAGACCTCTAACACCCAGTAATCTCTGTTCTACAGACCTCTACAACCCAGTAATCTCTGTTCTACAGACTCTACACCCAGTAATCTCTGTTCTACAGGCCTTTACACCCAGTAATCTCTGTTCTACAGACCTTTACACCCAGTATCTCTGTTCTACAGACATCACACACCCAGTAATCTCTGTTCTACAGACCTCTACACACCCAGTAATCTCTGTTCTACAGGCCTCTACACCCAGTAATCTCTGTTCTACAGACCTCGTACACACCCAGTATCTCTGTTCTACAGACCTCTACACCCAGTAATCTCTGTTCTACAGACCTCTACACCCAGTAATCTCTGTTCTACAGACATCTACACACCCAGTAATCTCTGTTCTACAGACCTCTACACCCAGTAATCTCTGTTCTACAGACATCTACACACCCAGTAATCTCTGTTCTACAGGCCTCTACACCCAGTAATCTCTGTTCTACAGCCTTACACCCAGTAATCTCTGTTCTACAGACATCTACACACCCAGTAATCTCTGTTCTACAGACCTCTACACCCAGTAATCTCTGTTCTACAGGCCTTTACACCCAGTAATCTCTGTTCTACAGACCTCTACACACCCAGTAATCTCTGTTCTACAGACCTCTACACCCAGTAATCTCTGTTCTACAGACCTCTACACCCAGTAATCTCTGTTCTACAGACCTCTACACCCAGTAATCTCTGTTCTACAGACCTCTACACCCAGTAATCTCTGTTCTACAGACCTCTACACCCAGTAATCTCTGTTCTACAGACATCTACACACCCAGTAATCTCTGTTCTACAGGCCTCTAACCCCAGTAATCTCTGTTCTACAGACCTCTAACCCAGTAATCTCTGTTCTACAGACTCTCACCATAATCTCTGTCAAGCTCACACCCAGTAATCTCTGTTCTACGATCACACCCAGTAATCTCTGTTCTACGGGCTTACACCCAGTAATCTCGTTCAACCAGACCTGCTACGACCAGAAGTCTTGTTCTACAGACCTTACACCCAGTAATCTCTACGACTCTACACCCAGTAACTCTGTTCTACAGACCTCTACACCCAGTAATCTCTGTCTACCCCTCTACGCCCAGTAATCTCTGTTCTACAGAACCTCTACACCCAGTAATCTCTGTTCTACAGACCTCTACACCCAGTAATCTCTGTTCTACAGACCTCTACACCATAACTCTACAGCCCTACATCTAATCTGTTCTACAGACCTCTACGCGCCCAGTAATCTCTGAAACCTAGAACCAAATCTTATGTGTCCTGGATATCACAAGAGGTTATCCAACACAGTCCCAAATCTCTCTCTCTCGCTCTCTCTCTCGCTCTCTCTCTCTCTCTGTCTCTCTCTCTCTCTCTCTCTCTCTCTGTTTCTCCTTATCTCTCTCTCTCTCTCTCTCTCTGCTTGGCCTGACCTGTGGGCTTGGAGGAAGGCTGGGTTATTTTGAAACCCGGAATCACAATTTGTTTACAATCTTGTTTACAACCCTGTGTTGACAGCGAAATCCCAGCCTTGGTAGCCTATGTAGTAACCTACACTGATCAGATCAATTAGATATAGCGGTCAAATATGACCCAGGCCATGTCGTCCAAGACAACTGATCAGATCAAATAGATAGGTCAAATATGACCCAGGCCTAATGTCGTCCAAGAAGACTTGATTAGATATGAGTGTATGTTTACATTACAGCCCAGGGTTGACCCTAGCCCTTACATTTCGCATACATCCAGAACATTTCCATTAGCGGTACATTTTACATTTTAGTAATTTAGCAGACACTCTTACCCAGAATGATTTACATTAGTGCATGAGTACCTGCAGATATCCAGATGAAGTAGGCCTAAGTCATTTGGCTCTGTTTTGGCAATAAGGGGCCGTTTCACTCATGAGGAAAACTCGCTGAAATCCAAGGCCTACCTAGTTGAGCCCAACCAGGGCTGCATTTAGTAGATGACCCCTGTTTGTAGACATGGTTACTGCAACAGGTTGGAAACATCATAAACATTCCCTCATTAACATCCCCTGCCCCCCATAACGCTTCCCTGAACTGTACTCATGTGGAAGAGGTAGGTACAGACAAAATCATCATCAATTTAATATTTAAAAACACAGATAATGATTTGATATGGTCCCTGATATTGTAATAATATACCAGCATTGGTATTAATGTATTTAATGCAGGTATTAATGTCTTTAATGCATTTATGAACTTTTTATCTGTTCATTTATGCACACTCTACCTGCTAGCTGGCTATAGTACTTTCTACTGTACATGTTGTCATTGGGATAGCATGGCTATTCATGTCCCCTTTCGTTGTTAATTGTTACCTTACTGAGGAGTTGGAAGATAAGGGCAGCACAACTTTTCATTTATGGATGTTGTTTCTAGAAGGCATGTCGTGTGCTTTTGTTTGTTGAGCTATTTCGACGCTATTTTACAAGTGTACATCACTACCAAAGATGGTTTAGAAAACTCTGTGTCACTACTGTACATAACGCTTGGCTGTCATTGAGAAAGTTGGCTAACCTAGGCCTATAGCAAATGGATTGACAAGCTACTTGTTCTATCTGTGCCTATAGCCTATATGTCATACTGTACGTTGCATTACCGTGGCATTACCGTGGCATTACCGTGGCTGTCTACCTGCATGGTCACGCCTGCTCCGTTAGGTTAAGAAGTCGACTCGGACTTTAAATTCAACCACCCATATGACACTCTGTTTGATTTTCGCCCGTTCGGTACATGCCTAAAAAGTGTTCATATTCACACTAAATACGTTTGAACTGGTAAACGTTGAGTAGAAGGAACAGAAATCTGTGGAAATATTGTTGTTGAAAAAAAACTCGCACTGACTTTTTGTCAAAAGGCAGAAAGACCACGCCTGAAAATCCAGGGGCGGAGAAGGAATTTCTACTTTTTTCCACCAGTGAAACACAGCCCAACTCTTTTCACTGTGTCGACGCAGTCAACCACCCGACCCGAGAGAGAAGGAAGAGGACTTTTACAATGGCTGGGGTGGCATCAACGTTGGCCAAGAAGAGGGCTTTGGCCGCAGGATTTGGCACTAATGCCAATGCGTCGAAGTACCTTAACCAGGACTTCAAGTCTCTCAGGAGCGAGTGTCTGAACAGAGGTTCACTCTTCACGGATTCCACTTTTCCAGCCGAACCTGAGTCCTTGGGATTCAATGAGCTTGGGCCAAGATCTTCCAAAACCAGAGGTGTGCAATGGAAACGACCTGGGGTAAGTTACTGGGCGTGAAAATGTGTCTACTCTATGACTGAATTTGTATTGATCAAAATAGACCAAAGCGTTATCTATCATTTTCTATCACTGTAAGATTTTTTTTTAACAACAAATATAACAAAATATAACAAAATATTTGACAAAACAGTATACCAAATAAAACAGACAAACTTTATACACAGGAAGTTGATCTACAACACATATTTAGAAACAAGTTATGATGCAATGTAAATATGATCAAACACTAGTTAACCAAACCTAAACTTCAAAGAAAAAGGCTAAACCAAAACTCAGAATTTACAACCAGATCAAAAACAGCTACGATCCAGAACCTCTCACCTAACCAGAAACCAAACTTCCCTGTGTGCCCAATTAAAAACCTGTATACTGCCTCTGGCAATTGAAGTAGTTAGGTTCAATGCCATAGAAGAAGTAGAGGAACTATGTACTGTCTGTGATTTAGGGGAGGTAGAGAATGAACTGCACTTTTTATTTTATTGTTCTTTATGTGATGATCTGAGAGCTGTACTGTTTGATAAAATGTTGCAAAGAAAACAACAGGAAGTATTCAGGATTAGAGATTAAGAAAAACTTGAATGTCTATTTAGGAAAGAAGTATTCCTTGTTACACATTTTATCTTCGAAGATGCGACTTGAAATGTTTCTGTTTTGTTTTCTCAATTGTTTTTCACTGCCATGTCGTAGCCGGCCGCGACCGGGAGACCAATGGGGTGGCGCGCAATTGGCCCAGCGTCGTCCAGGGTAGGGGAGGGAATGGCCGGCAGGGATGTAGCTCAGTTGATAGAGCATGGCGTTTTCAACGCCAGGGTTGTGGGTTCGTTTCCCACAGGGGGTATGAAAAAAAATCATAATAATAATGTATGCACTAACTGTAAGTCGCTCTGGATAAGAGCGTCTGCTAAATGACTAAAATGTAAATGTAAATATGAATGTGTGTGTATATATATATATATATATATATATATATATATATATATATGTGTGTATGTGTACACTACCAGTCATAAGTTTGGACACACCTACTCAAATGCAGTGTTTTATAAGGACATGTCCTGAAGATGCATGACACTAAAAATAAATAAATAAATCAATCACAGGTGTATACACACTTAAAGGCCCTGAACAGTCATTCTGAATGGCTAACTACCAGGAAGTTTGAAAAGACAGGCGTGGCGATACGCAAAGCAACTCAAACAACATTGACATTGCATCAATTACATCTATATATTTTTTTTATACACCTCCAGTTTGGCATGTCTCTTGTTATGCAGTTCACAGCTGCACTGACAGGTGTGTTGATTCGACGACTGTGTCTGAATTTTGAACGACTATTACCCCCCTTTTTGTTCCATGCTGGCTGAAGACCTAGTTAGCCAGTAACTAGGTAACACCAGACACATATAAAAGGGGAAACGTATAAGTATCTTTGCCATAGATGAATAGGGTAAACTTTTAATTATATTTGCTGACACCTATAATCACATGTTGGCACCAGTAGAGTAGCCGTCTAGCTATATAAACCACGCCCCTCTGCAAACACGCCTTCTCCGATGTTGGTTACAAGGCGGTACTTATTTAAATTAGGTAAGAGAATATCATGTTACCGTTGGTGTATTAAAATGAGAGTTTAGGTGATGTCACCTTGTCCTCCTTAATAATGAATCCAAGTGTTTGACTTGGGGGAGGGCACCAGTGACTTTATGATCAGACTTTGTCAATGTAGAAGCAGCAGTCATTTTTTTTTATACATTGGTCATCATACTTTGATCTGGTTTCCTTTAATTATCATCAAATTTCATGAGAAACCATGATTTTGACTGTTCATGACCTTGCTTTAATATTTTCATGCAGCATTTTCAAATAATATTCAAGTTCATTTAGAAAAAGTCAGAATCTTGGCTTTGCTTTTTCCCCACTTGCGTTTCTGCATAGAATATGTATCATACATAATGAAGAGATAAATTATATATACTTTGTTCTGATCTTCATCGTCAAACAAAAGTCATCACTGGAAATATATCTTTATAGCTTAAGTCAGTGACGTGGGAGTAGTCTGATGGGCGTGTCCGGATGCTTGTTACCCATTTGATTATAGCGGACTATTGGGCGTAAATCAATCACTTCCTCATTCTATTCTATCCAAACTGAACCTGTACCATACGGCTAAATAAATGACGAACATGATCAGGGTGACTCATCCTCCAACCATTTGTATGGAACGTTGGAGTTAGTCATCTGATCCCACTCCTTTTTGTTTTAGGCTGTCAACAGATCAACTCATAGGCAGTGAACTTTGAGACCGTTGAGGTTACATTAGCTCATTGTGGACCCTCCCCCTTACTTGTGCATAACTTTAATGTTTATCAGTCTACCCTCTTCATTCCGATGTGCTTTTATTTCATAACTATTATTGATAATGACTGATCCTCCCATTCAAATCTGCTATTAAAGTTAATATTCTGTTAACTCATACCCAAATAATGTTGTTGACTCATCCTGTACTCGTATTTGTGGTCAAAGCATAAATTAGTGAAAAAAATACATTAAAAAAAAAACACCATCTTAAACTTGTATCTTAAACAGACTATTTCAAAAATGCTTGCAATGGTGAAATCCTCCTCCGGGCCAATCAGCGGTCTACTCGCATGAATAGTTTTAATGACCGGTATACGCCCACACCATTCTATATTGGGGTACGCCCACACCATTCAAACACAGAAAAGCTACTTTTTTTTAACATACTTAATTAAAAAATGTTGGAATTAAAATGATTTCACTCATATTGTAATTAATTATAGGTCATATTTCATAGAAATCTGGAAACACTGGACAGTTACTTTAAAAGTTCAAAACACAGTCTTAATCATGTATTGGTCCCTCCCTGAATAGTAGAGTTGATAATAAATCAAATGCAGTACTCTATGAAATAACGGAGGTTACATTAGTAGCTCATTGTGCAGTGCTCTATGAAATAACGGAGGTTACATTAGTAGCTCATTGTGCAGTGCTCTATGAAATAACGGAGGTTACATTAGTAGCTCATTGTGCAGTGCTCTATGAAATAACGGAGGTTACATTAGTAGCTCATTGTGAAGTGCTCTATGAAATAACGGAGGTTACATTAGTAGCTCATTGTGCAGTGCTCTATGAAATAACGGAGGTTACATTAGTAGCTCATTGTGCAGTGCTCTATGAAATAACGGAGGTTACATTAGTAGCTCATTGTGCAGTGCTCTATGAAATAACGGAGGTTACATTAGTAGCTCATTGTGCAGATATTTCCCCCAAGCTAGTGTATTGCTTCAATTAGGGCTGCAAAGTTGGGAAGCCTCAAATCTGTAGTTCGTAATATCTTTCACAGTCTTACTCATGCTTTGGTTCCTCCCTGAATAGGAGCTGGTGTCCAGCCCAGAGTTCATCGTTGGTGGCGCCTCAAGAACCGACATTTGCCAAGGCGGCCTGGGTAAGTCCCCTTTATATTAGGAACCAAAACAGGAACCAAACCAAAACCACAGGGCCGCCGGTTTTGTAAAAGTATCCATGATTTCATCTGTGAGGAGGAGATGGTATAATAAAAGTTAATGTGATTGATCACAGCATATGTAATAACATATTCAGTTATTGCTTTAACCAGTTATTACACATGTGATTTGGTTTCCTGGACCATCACTGAACAGCCACCATGTCAGGTTGTTATCTCTCTGAGGTATAATATAAACATGTCAGGTTGTTATCTCTCTGAGTTATAATATAAACATGTCAGGTTGTTATCTCTCTGAGGTATAATATAAACATGTCAGGTTGTTATCTCTCTGAGGTATAATATAAACATGTCAGGTTGTTATCTCTCTGAGGTATAATATAAACATGTCAGGTTGTTATCTCTCTGAGGTATAATATAAACATGTCAGGTTGTTATCTCTCTGAGGTATAATATAAACATGTCAGGTTGTTATCTCTCTGAGGTATAATATAAACATGTCAGGTTGTTATCTCTGAGGTATAATATAAACATGTCAGGTTGTTATCTCTGAGGTATAATATGAAACATGTCAGGTTGTTATCTCTGAGGTATAATATGAAACATGTCAGACCATGGTGCTTGCCTATGGAGCTGTGAGGGGATCGGCACCTCCGTACCTTCAGGCTCTGATCAGTCCCTACACCCAAACGAGGGCATTGCGTTCATCCACCTCTGGCCTGCTGGCTCCCCTTCCTCTGCGGAAGCATAGTTCCCGCTCAGCCCAGTCAAAACTGTTCGCTGCTCTGGCACCCCAATGGTGGAACAAGCTCCCTCACGACGCCAGGACAGCGGAGTCACTCACCACCTTCCGGAGACATTTGAAACCCCACCTCTTTAAGGAATACCTGGGATAGGATAAAGTAATCCTTCTACCCCCCCCCCCCCCCCCCCCCCCCCCCCCCCCCTAAAAAAAAAAAAAGATATTGTAAAGTGGTTATCCCACTGGCTATAGGGTGAATGCACCTATTTGTAAGTCGCTCTGGATAAGAGCGTCTGCTAAATGACGTAAATGTAAATGTAAATGTTATCTCTGAGTTATAATATAAAACATGTCAGGTTGTTATATCTGAGGTATAATATGAAACATGTCAGGTTGTTATCTCTGAGTTATAATATAAAACATGTCAGGTTGTTATTTCCGTAATGCGGTATAGTAGAAAACACAGACAAACCGAAAGAGATCTCTATCGAAACCAGCCCAGTTACCAGGCTGGGAGGAAGTCCTAACACCAGCCAGTTACTGGAAACCCAGCTATTCACGAGTTGAGACCCACTTCCCTCTCCATTTACTCTGCGTGTTTACAGTAATCTCCCCTAGCCTCACCCTTCTCCAAGGGGGTGAGGATACAACAAAGAATACGTTGTGATTTCTGACAAAGCGAGACTAGCTTTGGCATGGTGTTTATTTGTGTGTGTGGGCGATATCATCCTTTGTCCTGTTACCTTTTTTATGCTGTTTAATACCGTGAATAAAGGGCACTCTTATTCACAGAATGCTTCTGAATATTCAGTCACCACAGGAGCCACAGGAGCCGAGGGTGTGAGTTGTGAGGGTGTGGCTGGTACAAAGCAACAGTTGCCCAGAGCAGGGTAGACTAGTGTACTGGTCTCTCATTAATCCAGCAGGGTAGACTAGTGTACTGGTCTCTCATTAATCCAGCACGGTAGACTAGTGTACTGGTCTCTCATTAATCCAGCAGGGTAGACTAGTGTACTGGTCTCTCATTAATCCAGCAGGGTAACTAGTGTACTGGTCTCTCATTAATCCAGCAGGGTAGACTAGTGTACTGGTCTCTCATTAATCCAGCAGGATAGACTAGTGTACTGGTCTCTCATTAATCCAGCAGGGCTGACTAGTGTACTGGTCTCTCATTAATCCAGCAGGGCTGACTAGTGTACTGGGCTCTCATTAATCCATCAGGGTAGACTAGTGTACTGGTCTCTCATTAATCCAACAGGGTAGACTAGTGTACTGGTCTCTCATTAATCCAGCAGGGTAGACTAGTGTACTGGTCTCTCATTAATCCAGCAGGGTAGACTAGTGTACTGGTCTCTCATTAATCCAGCAGGGTAGACTAGTGGTACTGGTCTCCTCATTAATCCAGCATGGGTAGACTAGTGTACTGGTCTCTCATTAATCCAGCAGGGTAGACTAGTGTACTGGTCTCTCATTAATCCAGCAGGGTAGACTAGTGTACTGGTCTCTCATTAATCCAGCAGGGTAGACTAGTGTACTGGTCTCTCATTATATCATTAATCTAACAGGGTAGACTAGTGTACTGGTCCTCATTAATCCAGCAGGGTAGACTTTGTACTGGTCTCTTTAATCCAGCAGGGTAGACTAGTGTACTGGTCTCTTTAATCCAGCAGGGTAGACTAGTGTACTGGTCTCCTTTAATCCAGCAGGGTAGACTAGTGTACTGGTCTCTCATTAATCCAGCAGGGTAGACTAGTGTACTGGTCTCTCATTAATCCAGCAGGGTAGACTAGTGTACTGGTCCTCTCATTAATCCAGCAGGGTAGGACTAGTGTACTGGTCTCTCATTGAATCCAGCAGGGTAGACTAGTGTACTGGTCTCTCATTATCCAGCAGGGTAGACTAGTGTACTGGGCTCTCTTTAATCCAGCAGGGTAGACTAGTGTACTGGGTCTCTCATTAATCCAGCAGGGTAGACTAGTGTACTGGTCTCTCATTAATCCAGCAGGGTAGACTAGTGTACTGGGCTCTCTTTAAATCCAGCAGGGTAGACTAGTGTACTGGTCTCTCATTAATCCAGCAGGTAGACTAGTGTACTGGTCTCTCATTAATCCAGCAGGGTATAGACTAGTGTACTGGTCTCTCATTAATCCAACAGGGTAGACTAGTGTACTGGGCTCTCATTAATCTAACAGGGTAGACTAGTGTACTGGTCACTCATTAATCCAACAGGGTAGACTAGTGTACTGGTCTCTCATTAATCCAGCAGGGTAGACTAGTGTACTGGTCTCTCATTAATCCAGCAGGGTAGACTAGTGTACTGGTCTCTCATTAATCCAGCAGGGTAGACTAGTGTACTGGTCTCATTAATCCATCAGGGTAGACTAGTGTACTGGTCTCTCATTAATCCAGCAGGGTAGACTAGTGTACTGGTCTCTCATTAATCCAGCAGGATAGACTAGTGTACTGGTCTCTCATTAATCTAGCAGGGTAGACTAGTGTACTGGTCTCTCATTAATCCAGCAGGGTAGACTAGTGTACTGGTCTCTCATTAATCTAGCAGGGTAGACTAGTGTACTGGTCTCTCATTAATCCAGCAGGGTAGACTAGTGTACTGGTCTCTCATTAATCCAGCAGGATAGACTAGTGTACTGGTCTCTCATTAATCCAGCAGGGTAGACTAGTGTACTGGTCTCTCATTAATCCAGCAGGGTAGACTAGTGTACTGGTCTCTCATTAATCCATCAGGGTAGACTAGTGTACTGGTCTCTCATTAATCCAGTCATTTACATTTTAGTAGACTCTATTATCCAGAGCGACTTACAGGAGCAAATAGGGTTAAGTGCCTATGTTTCACCTAGTCTGCTCGGGGATTCGAAACCAGCGACCTTTCAGTTACTGGCCAAATGCTCTTAACTGCTAGGCTGCCTGCTGTGTTTGTTTACAGTAAATATCAGTCCTCGGGGTAAATATCAGTCCTCGGGGTATGTTACTGTCAGACAGCATATTCAATAGTGTGACTATTGGTTAAACCAGTCGCTCACCATAAACACGGAAGTTCAGTCTGGTTTAACCAGGCTAGGGATGGGTCCCAGTCAGAGGAGGATGTTTTGATCATTTCAGGCCTGGCTCTTTACACAACCACACTGTGCCAGACTTATTTTGCATAACACGTCTTTAGACACACACACACACACACACACACTCCGCATAACACATATTTTGCAAAGCTCTGGGTCTGCAATCTGGATCACATTAGTCCGCTGCAGAGCCTCATACAAGATGTCTTTATAACCAGGTATTATTCTCATTGTAATAGCAGGAACACTATCTTATAATGGTCAATACTCCTTTAGTGTTCCTTTTGATTGTTGAACAACCCAATAGACCTACTTATTTACTGTAACTGAAGACAAACAATTAGTTTATGGAGAAATCGTCTCCACAAATGCATGACATAACAAGCCACAGTACTTTTTTAAAAGTTTGTTTTGTTTTTGTTGTACTTTTTACCCCTTTTTCGTGATATCCAATTGGTAGTTACAGTCTTGTCCCATCACTGTAACTACCCTACGGACTGGGGAGAGGTGAAGGACGAGAGCCATGCGTCCTCCGCACTGCTTCCTGACACACTGCTTCCTGACACACTGCTTCCTGACGCACTGCTTCCTGACGCACTGCTTCCTGACCCACTGCTTCCTGACGCACTGCTTCCTGACACACTGCTTCCTGAAACACTGCTTCCTGACGCACTGCTTCCTGACGCACTGCTTCCTGACGCACTGCTTCCTGACGCACTGCTTCCTGACGCACTGCTTCCTGACGCACTGCTTCCTGACACACTGCTTCCTGACACACTGCTTCCTGACGCACTGCTTCCTGACACACTGCTTCCTGACACACTGCTTCCTGACGCACTGCTCGCTTAATCCGGAAGCCAGCCGCACCAATGTGTCAGAGGAAACTCCGTCCAGCTGGCGACCGAAGTCAGCTTGCAGGCGCCAGGCCCGCCACAAGGAGTCGCTAGAGCACGATGGGACAAGGAAATCCCAGCCGGCAAAACCCTCCCCTAACCTGGATGACGCTGGGCCAATTGTTGGCCGCCTCATGGGTCTCCCAGTCACGGCCGGCTGTGACAGCCTGGGATCGAACCTGGGTCTGTAGTGATGCCTCAAGCACTGCGATGCAGTGCCTTAGACCGCTGCGCCACTCGGGAGGCAAGCCACAGCAATGAAGCATGGGACAGACTACATGCTGAGACTG